GGAGCAACTCCAGAGTGGCCCAACCCCTCTCAAGGAGACTGGTTCCGGAGCCAGAGCCAAGTATATCTAGCCAGAACCTCTCAACCTCACACACCAACTCCAGCTCTTTTCCCACCAGAGAGGTGACATTCCACCTGCTGAGTGCCAGTATTTGTAGCCAAGGATCAGACCGCCAAGGTCCTCACTGTCAGTTACCACCCAACACAGAAAGCGTCCAAACTCTTTGGCCCCTCCCATGAGTAGTGAGCCAATGAGAAGGTGGATCCCCCTCTCTTCTTTGGGTTGTGCTTGGCTGGGCTCCATGGATGAAAGCCCACCCACCAGGTGCTTGTCAACGTGCACCAACTCCAGGCCTGGCTCCAGAGGTGACCTGCATCTGGGGGAGGGAACATTGTTTCCACATATGTTGCTCATCATAAGGGGTCTTTGGGCTGTGCTTCATCTGATCCCTCACATAGGACTGGGTGACCCTACCAGAGGCCTCAGACAACTTTCCTCCTATCGATCATTGGGACACTAAAACCCTTTCACCATAGTAAGGTGGCAGCTCCAAATCAGCCAATTTTCAGTGTTTGAATTCAGGGTTTGAATTTAGTCACCTTTGTATACCTTTGTATATTGTCATTTTTTATTGTGTTTTATTTTAAAATCCTACATTAGATTGTTTGGAAAGTTTGTGAATGTCAAGCAGAGAGTGAACACTGAAGTGTTAAAAGTATGTTGAATCAGACAGATTATGCAAAATCAAGTACTGAAATTTGTCAAAATTGCCTTTATTCCATTATTTTGATAGTTTTTTAAATCCCACATCAATTACAGATGAAAGTTGGTGAGTGTGAAGTAGCGGATGTGTACTCTTAGAAAACAGTGGAATAAGTGGAGTATTACAAATCAGTGGGGCTGATTTTTAGGCCCCCTTCTATTTTCCATTCATCCACTACCTTGGGGACAGATTTTTCTGCGTCACGGCATCAGCTATCACATCTATGCTGATGATTGTCAGATTTACTTGGCAATAAAAGGACCAGACGTGGACATCCAAGTGGGAAATCTTCTCTCTGACACGAAGGAATGGTTAGCTGCAAACGTCCTGAGTCAAAATGAGGCAAAGACAGTTGGTTATTTTTGAGCCTAGAAACATTCCACGCACATTATCTGTACCCAGCTTACCATGTATTAAACCCAAACAATGTGTCAGTATCCTTGGTGTGAAATTGGACGCAGGATTTTCAGTGGTATCTCAGATAAATGCAGTTGTTAAATCATGCTTTTTTTCAGACATGCCTGAAGCCAAAACTGATACGTTCACATTTAGAGTCCGTGTAGTGACTATCAAGTCCCACTTTTAGTCACCCTCGGGTGCGGGTGGAGGCAATGACTCGCTTCAACAATAATGTCCAGGCAGAAAGCGGGTTTGGGTTTATTGTCCCATTTACTGAATATGATGATGATCACAAGCTGGGTCCACAATGGCTATTTCTTGTCCAGGTTTATGTAAATGATGAAAATTATAACGGCAAATTAGATGTGGCATATGAAACCAAACGAAGCGGTAAAAACCGTGTGACCTCCCGTCACCCACAAAACGCCAGTGCACTGCCACCTCAACACCTTTATAGGCTCCGCAGTGCCACCAGTGGTCAAAGGAAATACAAACCATAGTGCAATAAACTGAAATGTACATAAAACATTATCAAAATAAACTTAGATCATAATATAATCTAAACCAAAACAATATTGGCTCCTACACACCGGCCCCTATAGTGTAGACAGCACAATAAATAATAACAAAATAAGGAGCCAAAAAATGTCCGAAGTAGTCCCATGCAGGATCTTCTCTCCACCTTATTCAGCTGCTTGAAGAAGGCAGATCTTTGAGATGGGCCTCTCCAGCTGTCCGGTCTTCGTTTTCAGCTGAACTGCTCTAACAAGTCAATTTTTGTCAGGATAAGTGTTGATTATTCTTCCAAGTTTCCCTTTTTTTTTTTTTTTTTTTGGCAGATCTTGAAGCCATGAAGTCCATTGCTGTGACATTGTCTGGGAGACAGGCTCATCCCAAGACATTTTTCTCCTGCACATCTCCTGCAGCAATAACTTTGGTAACAAAGTGAATGGTGCCAGGAAACGGTTAGAACACCGAAGAGAGAGTTGGTAAGGTCCGGCCCCTGTAGAAGCTGGCCATTCAATGAAGAGCCTTTGTAGCTTGCTCCACAGTCAAAAACCACTCTCAAAGTATTTTTCCTTGGGTGATAGACACCGTGATGTGGAAGATACCAGACTTTCCCTTCTTTGGGTTCCATCTGGTCAAGAGTTCTTTTTCTGCATAGCCTTTGTCGATAAGATCCATCATGAATGCTGCATATTCCTTTTTGTAGACTTTGTTCCTCTCAAACTTTCTTTTGAGGGTCTGAAGGCGTTGTGCCATAACACACCGGTTGTTGGGCATGATAATGTCAGTCTTTTTTGAAGGGCAAGTCCAAACAATAATGTCCATCCAGCATACAAGCTGAATTTTCCATTATTTCCATAAATTTCTTGTCCTCGATCGACATTTCATGTTTTTCTTCCAGTGTTTTTTCATCAAAGTCTTGATTGTATTGAGATATCAACAGCTCCTCCAGTTAGTTTGGCAACAGAAATCCTGTTTGCGTAAACAGTTGTACAACCTTTCTGGGTAGTTACACTGCTTCGCAGGGGACCATTAATGACCCATCCAAGTGGGGTTCTGACAGCATGTGGTCCGTTGCCTTGACTGTTATCTCCCATGGCTCCATGAGGTTTGATGCATTCATTCCAATCAAAAGCTCGACATCAGCATCCAGTTCCGGAATCCTGATGGTGCTGAGATAGTCCCATTTTTCAACATCTCTCTGAAGAGGAATGTTGTTCCGAGAGACTGGAATGGCTTCTTGTGTGTAAACTTCGGGAAGTTCTACAAAGCTGTTTCCTTGTAGCCCCGAAATTTCTAGTCCAGTGGCACAACAGCTGCTCACCAAACTTTCTTGGCCCACAGTACGCAGCAAGATGTTAATCTTTGGGCCTTGCACATTTAGTTTCTTCTTTAATTTGTTGGTAATGAAAGTTGCTGTGCTTCCAGGATCCAAGAAGGCATAAGTTTGAAACACTTGATCTCCTTTCTTAGATTTTATTTTGACGGGAACAATTGAAAGAGTACAGTCCTCTCCTCCATCAGTACAAACATCAGCCTTATGAGACGCGAGGGCACTGCTGACAGGTGTTTCTTGGGCTTTAGCTTGTTCTTTGTCAGAATGTAGGATTGTAGGATGCTTCCGGTTGCATTTATCACAAGTGAGGCGATTTTTACATTCCCTACTCATGTGGCCAACCTTAAAACATCCAAAGCATATTCCTTTTCCTTTCAGAAATTCAATTTTATCCTTTTGAGGAATCCTGGTTAGCTTTGGACATTTCAATAAGGAATGAGATTGATCACAATATGGACAGGCTTCTGGAGCTGGACTTCTGGTAGCTACTGGCTGCACTTGTGGCTTTGGCAGCACAGATGGAGAAGATATAGCACAGTCACCAGGTGCTATAGCAGTAACAAAGGTGCTTCCTTTGATGTTGGTCTTTATTGAGCCTTTGTTTCTTGGTACTTCCTTTGCTGCAAGACTTGGTCTTGTTTCAGAAATGTCTCCAAATAAAGGATGAGACAATATTTTTACTTGATGCTCAAGGAAGGTGACCATGTCAGTAAATGTTGCCCTGAAACCTCGCCGTTCCTGTAGTTCACAGGCTGCGGTTCTCCATTTTTCACGTAGCTTGTAGGGCCATTTCAGGATCACTTGCCTCATGTAGGATGGTAGATTAAGTTCTTCCATATAATGCATGAACAAAGGTCTTTTATTTTTGCCTTTATTTTATTGGCTTGTTTAAATAAATAAGACCTCTCCTTTTGCAGTTTTTCGATCTAAAAGCCAAACCTTTAACAGAAAACTTCCTTTGTCTTTTTTCATTTTCATTGTCTCTAGAATTGGTTTCATCATTATCCAAATCCATTTCATTCATAAAACACCATTCAGCAAACACGGATGATTGTGGCGCTCTTCCTCGCGCTATTTTACGCACAGCTGCGCTTTAATTTGCCACAAAGCACCAGTATTGACACAGTCACGTTTGTGTTTTCCAGACATCAGCACATGAATGAACAGTTTAATGAGTGGAAGCCATCAATATCCTTAGCAGTTCTTATGCAGGCAATCAGCTCTTGTCAGGACGCAGCGGCCGCAGCGCATCAATACTCCACTCCAGCGTCTTTAACCCAAAAGGATGACTGCACTCACCGGAGATGTCTTGAATGTTTTGCTTGTGCCTCAAACCTTTTAGATTGCTTTGATGTGGAGTCACAACAAAGGATCGATGTGTGATGGAGTCTCAATCCAACCTCCAGGTAAACAGCGCCGCCGGCGGGGCACCTGCCAAACTTTTCCTGATGAGCTCCAGAAGATGCGACTTCCTCCAATTCCAGACAGGTCCAGGTTTTTACTTGTTGTAGTGACTATCAAGTCCCACTTTTAGTCACCCTCAGGTGCGGGTGGAGGCAATGACTCGCTTCAACAATATTGTCCAGGCAGAAAGCGGGTTTGGGTTTATTGTCCCATTTATTGAATATGATGATGATCACAAGCTGGGTCCACAATGGCTATTTCTTGTCCAGGTTTATGTAAATGATGAAAATTATAACGGCAAATTAGATGTGGCATATGAAACCAAACGAAGCGGTAAAAACCGTGTGACCTCCCGTCACCCACAAAACGCCAGTGCACTGCCACCTCAACACCTTTATAGGCTCCGCAGTGCCACCAGTGGTCAAAGGAAATACAAACCATAGTGCAATAAACTGAAATGTACATAAAACATTATCAAAATAAACTTAGATCATAATATAATCTAAACCAAAACAATATTGGCTCCTACAGTCCGTGATATGCTTTTATTATCGCTCGTTTGGACCACACAAATTCACTGTTCATTCGTGCTCCTGCTTCAGCTTTGAACCGGCTGCAGATTGTGCAGAATGCTGCTGCTAGATTTCTGACAAACATGAACAGAAGCAGTCACATCACCCTGGTTTTGGCATTACTACACTGGCTGCCCGTGACCATCAGGGTGCGATTCAAGATTTAACTCTTTGTCTATAAGGCATTGAATGGCCTTGCACCCTCCTACTTATCAGAGCTGCTCGTGCCTTCATCAGACACACATACTGGAAGTGCCTTTTTACTTTGAAGGTCTCGAACGAGTGCACTGTAATGCAGCAGGTCGTTGCTCATGTAAAATTCGAAGGAGGGTTGGCTTGGCTGTCATTTCTGAACTGGAGGTTCACCCACAACACCATGGCTTAGCTGGGGAAATATAGGTCAGGCCAGCAGGTGGAAACCAATAAACTGTCTCCAGTAAGCCACATTGGTTAACCATAGCCTAGAATTATTATCACTTTAAGAAATTCCTTTTTGCCACATGGGAAAACTGTTTACGGCATTTTTACAAATACAGCGTGTATCTACTTCTTAAGGTAAAATATCTACCACTTTTGCAGCCTCCCAAACAAGCTTGTTGGTTTAGTTTTATTTTATTTAGTGATGTATGCATACTATTAAGGAAGGGACTCTTGTATCACAACAATGCAAATTATAACTCAGCCATTCTAAGGACAATAAACCAGTTGCATAGGAAGTGGCTAACAGGAACATGTTCCTTTGAAATTATGTTCAAACTCAAAATGGCAGGAAATCCTGCATTATAACCAGAACTGTGAAAATGCTCTACCACAAAACCAACACGCAAGAAAAAGACCTGCAAAGAAAAGTAGAAAATATGAGCGGCACGACATCTGGTGGCACAAGTAATGATCGGAAACACTACAAAGACGTGAAGATTACTAATTTCCTGAATCAACACCTCCAACCAGCTTGTGCCGATCTGAAGACAGAGAATGCAAACTGAATGTGTTTTGCTGTATTTTATCTTTCCAGTGATCACAAATGGATGCTGCATGAAAAGTCCCCAAAAGGAAATGACAGGTATTTGATTTCAATTTCTTTCGCGAGTATTGGTTTTAGATAATTAGATGTGAAAGTGTTTTGTTTACTTCTCACTACACAAAATAATTAAAAATAACATAAATTTCACTTTGACGCAAATGTAGGTCCTCTGCAGAATCAAAACTTCAGAGTTGTGGAGGGAGAAATCTTCATGATGCCATGCAATAAATCAAATAAGTCTGTGATGTGGTCCAGGAACAAAGATGACAAGAAGGAAAAGAAACACCTGTCCTTTAACTGTACAGAAATGTTTATTACTGAAGTGGAACACTCTGGGATCTACAAAAGCCAGACTGGGTAAGTTGTTTGGTACATTTTTGTTAAAAAAACACTTAAATCGTAATAAAATGACTACTGAATGTTTGTTTATGGCAAATAGAGAGAAAACTATTACTTTAACACTTTAATGGAGTTTTAAATAATAGTTCATTATTTATTCAAGACTTGAGCTGCATATATGCCCTTATGCTTTGTCTTCAGAGACCTTTTTGTAATGTTTTTGCAATGGCTTTAACTAATAATTTGCGACTTTTGAAGTTCTTTGCTTAAGACTAGATTCCTCGTTCATTTTAATCCCAGCCATGGGCGTAATTTTGAGGGGGGACAGAGGGGACATGCCCCAACCCCCCCCCCCCACACACACACACACACACACACACACTTTTTCCAAAGTCAATTTTTGTCCCCATCACTATTTACCATCCAAAAACAATATTACACTATATTAGTTTTCCTCCATTGGTTTGGCTCATTTCTTAAAACAGAAATTACATTCTCAAACCTCTAAGATCATTTGGCAAAACACTCTTACAGTTTAGCACAGCACTATAGCTCACTTGCAAAAGCTCGTATCTCTGCCAAAACTGTTCACTCAAGCTTCAATCCAAATCCCTTTCTCATTTATACATTCAGTGTCTCGAAAATGGCAAAGATCCTTCTCAATAGCTTTGGCTCTTTTCAACAAGGATCGGACATTCTCATCATTCTTGGTGCTTTTGTCAAAATAATCCTGGATGGTTGATCACAACAACATGGTTTACCTGCAGTAGCTCATATCTATCCTAAAACTCATGTGTCAAAACTACATTTCTTTCTAATTATTTACACACTGTTGCTGATGCTTCTTCAAAACCCGGTCTATTGTGGAGATGCTTATTGTGTTTATATTCTGGAATATATGATTGTCCTGAAGGATAACATCACAGAGCTGTCTCAGTGTGATGGCATTATTTGCCATCACCATGTTACAAATCTCTCTTTCCTGTTGTTCATTGAGCAGTTGTCCTCTGCCACCCACGCGAGGTTGTCGTCCAATCCTACACACACAAAAAAAACAGAATACAGTAAGTTACCAGTGTAATTGTATTAGTTTTACTCACAGAAACTTCACCACAATCCTAATGCAACATTGCACAGTGACTGGAATACTACTTTAAACTGTATAAATTATGTAATTCCATTGTTTACAGTAATTTGTTCAATATATCTCTTGTCATATTTACGTATCAAAACATTCCACTAGTCCTCTTTACCTGCTAGTATAGACCTACTACTGAAGGCAGATGCACACAAAATCTCTACAGTAAGTTATAAATTTTTTGCCTCACGCACAGTGCCCTGTCCTATACAACATATAATTCCATCATAGGTTACACAGAGTACATACCTGTTGCCCTGTGAAAGGTTTGGATGATGGAGGAGACTGTAGAGTGAGGCACATTAGGCTGCACTTGACGACCTGCCTCTGCCATTGTGAGGCCATGGTTTGTGACATGGTCTACAATTGTGGCCCGAATTCCATTCGGGACAGCACAGTGTCTTCCCGCTCCTCGGCCTCTTCCCCCATTCCTCCACCACACATTCTCAATCTTCTTCTTCTTCTTCTTCTTCTTCTTCTTCTTCTTCTTCTTCTTCTTCTTCTTCTTCTTCTTCTTCTTCTTCTTCTTCTTCTTCTTCTTCTTCTTCTTCTTCTTCTTCTTCTTCTTCTTCTTCTTCTTCTTCTTCTTCTTCTTCTTCTTCTTCTTCTTCTTCTTCTTCTTCTTCTTCTTCTTCTTCTTCCTCCTCCTCTTCCTTGAGGAAGAATTTCCCCTTGTCCGTTTGCTTGGTCTTATCTATCCATGTTCAGAGATCGGACTGGCACTGGTCAAGCTCCATATATGTGTTTGGCAACACACGATCATGGAAAACACCTGTGTGTGACACTCCCCGTTCGTTAGTCTAGTTTCACCTGACTGTCAATGACTGTCATCAATGTATCAAATATTCAGAGAAATTTATATATGGTATTCATGGTATTATGTTCTTGACCAATTCTGACAATTGAACAGGCAATTGTGCATGAGAGTACTTATACAATGAAATCATGCTGACATGTTTTGAGGGAATGATCATTAGACTGAGAATCAACTAATCAGTTTAGATCTACAAGATCTATTCATTTGGAAAATGTGCAAAATGTGAGCTAACTGTATAACTATAGGCTACATGTACTTCATCGTTTGCAAAGATGCACTGAGGGAACTGAGACATGTACTAAGGCATTTGCCATTTGATAAAATGAATGAGAAAAACCATTCTGTTGTGAACATTTGCCAAGAGGTTTGGAGGTTTGTCCATGTTATTTTGAGAATGTAATTTCTGTTTCAAGAAATGAGCCAAACCAATGGAGAAAAACTGTAAACAGGCTGGTTAAGCTCTAGGACCAAGAGTTCAGCTAGAATCTGATGTAAATAAGCTCTATTGATCAGATATTACAGTTTTTCTCCATTGGTGAACACCACCTCACCCCTGCCACGTGGACCTCAAGGGATAAACCATCAATCATGCTCAATGGTTAACTTTCCTTGTGGGGTCACACCCATTAGGACAGTGGGAGGGTTAAGGATTTGAACAAATAACTAAATAAACTGAAACCGAAGAATTGACGAAACAACTAAAAAACTGGTACTCAGTTTGCATGTTTTCCATGTGCTTGTATTCAAACCTGAAACTGAAGCATAATCCTTGATCCTTAAACTAATGGTTGGTGTCCAGGGGTATATCTCCTTCCAGATTCTGACCAGGGATATCACTGATTGTCATGTTCTGAGGGTGAAGATGGTAGGACCATGTGTGGTGGTGGGTTTCAGGAGGCAGAAGAGCAGGCAACGGATGAAAAAATAAAAATGGTTTAATTGTAGAACGGGAGTGACTGGACAAAACACACATGAACAAACAACAATGATCCGACACAGGACATACGAGACGGGAGGTATAAATACACTGGGGAAAATCAGGAACACATGGGCATGTTAACAAGGGCAGGTGAAACCACTACACAACTAATCAGGGCAGGAGAGAAGCACAGTAAGGAAGGCAGGGGCAGATTGTGACAGTACCCCCACCCCCCACCCCCACACACCCCACCCCCAGGACACTCGAAAACTGGAAACACGCAACTCAGTCCGGGGCTGCAGAGTAGGGGCCTCTCGGTTAGGCGGCACAACTCCGACTTACAAAGTCTCCTTGAGCTCAGACCGGGGTTGCAGAGCAGGGGCCTCTCGGTTAGGCGGCACAACTCTGACTGACGGGGTCTCTTGAGCTTGGACCAGGAAACTCGGACTTGGACGCACGAACACTTGACTTGACTTGAGACCAGGAACACGAACACTTGACTTGAGACCAGGAACACGAACACTTGACTTGGGACCAGGAACACGAACACTTGACTTGCGACGAGGGAAACTCAGACTCGAAGACTTGACTTGGGACCACGAACACTTGGACCACGAACACTTGGACCACAAACACTTGAGCATGAAGACTTGACTTGAACACGAAGACTTGACCACGAAGACTTGACTTGAACACGAAGACTTGACTTGAACACGAAGACTTGACTTGAACACGAAGACTTGACCACAAAGACTTGACTTGAACACGAAGACTTGACCACGAAGACTTGACTTGAACACGAAGACTTGACTTGAACACGAAGACTTGAACACAAAGACTTGACTTGAACACGAAGACTTGACTTGAACACAAAGACTTGACTTGAACTGACTTGACTGGAAACAAACTACAGCAGCAGACGTGGGACCCAGCAGGAACTGCAGCAGCAGGCATAGGACCCAGCAGGAACTGCAGCGTGAAGGGCCTGCAGGCATAGACCCTGCAGGCGTGGACCAGGAAGTGGGACGAGACAGCAGGAGCGACGCGAGGGAACCAGGAGCGGTAGCAGGTACTCGACCACAGTTCTGAGCAGGTGCACACCGTGACTCGACAGGATCCTCAGGCAGGCTCGGGTGAAAGGAAGCAGACCACGGAGCAGGAAGACCAGCCCTACCACCCCGGAGAATGATGGCGTGCGTAGGGGGTTTTACCTCCATCAAAACTCCAGGAAACGGCAGCTTCCATAAAAAACAGGACGGGACAGAACAGCAGGAGAGGAGAAAAGACCTTGACCACCCCGGAAACTGAGGATGCGCCAGGATCACCCAGAGGGCTCGACCACCCCGAGAACAGGTAGGATGCGCCGAGAAACACAACTCCAGGCCGGAATCTCCCTCCGCTGAAAAGGGGGAAAAAAAGAAAAACTAATCCTCCAAAAAACAGGTGTTAGCTCACCACAGGTCCAGGTTTGGTCGGATCCAGTGTTGCCAACTCAGCGACTTTGTCACTGTTCCTAACGACTTTTTGACCCCCCTCAACAACTTTTTTCCAAAAAGCGCCTAGCGGCAAACTTAGCGACTTTTTTCAGGACCCGTTGCTACTTTCTGTAGAACTTTCATGTAGATATTCCCTACAGATTAGCAACAAAGAAACCATTTGCACTCTGAACCGTTCTTCCGGGAGTAAGGAAAAAGAACGATAATCTGCACATGTGCACGAGGACTGACCAATCATAAACCGTTTTCGGCCGGGCCGATTCGCTGAAGACAGAGTACAGCTGCAGAGCTGGAGACTGCCGATTTACGTCTGCTGCTTTCATATTGCTGCAGGCTCACGCTTCTACTAGAGCGTCAACCTGCCATCTCTGGTTCTGCAGCCGTCAGACACTTTGGCTTTTCCTGCATTTGGCAAATACAGTGATCGGGAGTTTCAGCTACCGTCCCGTTTACACACGCAGCTCTGTGGCTCATCTGAATTTCCTTCAGTGACACAGGGATGGTTATACCATGAGACAGCCGCTCCCTTTTGCTCGGTGCACCGTTATTATCACGATGGAGAGAATACACAACAGAGAAGTTGAGAAACTTCTGAGGTGTAAAAAAACAGCTTTTTAGGAAAATGTCTGTGAGAATGAGGAGAGCAGG